TTCTATCCGATTTATCCTTCTCTATTCCAACCATAATCTGAAGGGTGTCTAATTCTTACTGTGGCCTGGATGCTTCATGACACTAAGCAGGTTTTGGACCGATCTGCGTGTTCACGAGTCTCCTGCGCTTATAAAAGCTCTGGAGCTTGGACCAGTTGAACTCTATCCAGTTTGGTGTTGGGATCCGTATTACATCTATAATACACCAGTAGGCCCAAACAGATGGCAATTCTTATTGTGAGCACCTTCTTCTCTTTGATTCCCTTGGGTTTTACAAAGCTGATTAGAATAGCTTGTTGGTGGCATCCACCTTCAAAGGGATTTGATGAATGATCTTTCCAAATTGATCTCGCAGATCAATGACCGTTCAAAATTATTCGTCATTAGAGGTGAACCCTTGATCACATTGCCCTATATCTGGCGTCAGTGAGGGATTTCTCATTTAGCGTTTGAAGAAGACAATGATAAGCAACACAGTCAACCCCGGGATCAATCCATCATCAAGGCTGCAAAGGATTCTGATGTTGAAATACTGACATCCCCCGGCCATACACTATATCCACAAGAAAAAGTCATGGCGGCAGCAAAAGGAAATTAACCTGCAGGTTAGTATGGCTTCTCCAGCGCAATCAAGAAGCTAGGACCAACTTCACGCACAAATGAGGCGCCTGGTTTGCTCCCCAACCTTGGTTCTACAACTTTAGATGATCCTCTGCCTCTTGAGTTTCTGGAGAAATGGAAAAAGGCTTGGACAGACCGACTTGCTACTGAGAAAGATGTCAACAGCAACAACTCTCTCAGCACATTTGAAGTTTGGAACGCTATCCTCCAGGTTATTTTGTGGATGACTGAAACAATTGGAAAAGGAAAACCCAAAAATCAAAGCATTGAGTTCTCCGATCAAACCCCCACCTACTCAACAAAAAGTAAGGTGTAAGACTGTTTGGATTAAAGGAACGTTCCTTTGAAATATGACAAATGATGAGGTTGAGGCATTGTTAGACAGATATTTCAACCACTTGCAAAGATGTTAGTTTTTCTCTGTGTTTGCATTCGGGTGTTATTTTTAAAAGCTGACCTGACGTGAATTGATCATCAGTTTTTCTTACAAGTTTCATGCCCACCAACAAGGTCTGATCAACCTCAAAGTGACAATGGAAGAGCATGTAGCCAAGCAAGATGAGAAAGTAATCCACTGACACCTGTTCCCTCAATGTGATTCCTGGCTGCCCTTCCTCAGTTCCCGCTATGTTCAAGGGTAGGGAGCCTTCCGGCTCTGGGAAGAATCTTGCAATGATCTTTGGTACCTGCGCTCTTGAATGATCCAATGTCCAATCTCATCATCCATACTAGTCTGATCTCACTCCTCCCACTCTGAGTTATCCATAGTGTCCATGGTTCCTTCTCAGAATTCCCCAAAAACGTTAGAAGGACAACAAACAGCTTAAGCAACTCAAGCAACTTGACCATCAGTAACAATCTATTGTTCTCCGGCTATGTCACTGATCATGGGTGATGAGATTGATTGGCCGAGGTCGGCTCCCCAGGTTGTCCCAGACCACACAGTCAAGGGGGTTGATAAGCGCAAGCCAACCCCCCTCGCGGACGCCAAACTGCACGCCAGCTGCAGATTGGCGTGCACACATGCACGCCATTGCAGAAAGGCGTTGTAAGACTCAAAAGTGGTTGTGAGAACCCTTTTTCTGAATGGAGAAGGGTATGGTGGAGTTGCAAACTCTGCCCTTCTATACTATCAGATAACAAGACCCACCAAGCTTAGCTTGGCAAGTTTTAATCAAGTGATAGGGGTGGTTGGTTCAAGATTTCTTTGTTTGATCACAGTTGAATGATGTAAGAATTGAGTTTCTGAGAGTATGAGAGTGAGTTTAGTGTGTATTACAGGTGTAAGGGTTGTTATTGGGTGTTATAAAGGCTGTGAAAGTATGTAATGGTGTATGTAATGGTAATGGTATGGTATGTAATGGTAGGGGGTATGTGATTTGTGGGGACTAAACTGAGGGGAAAAACAACTGGGAGGAGAGCCTCCTTAAATAGACAACAATGAGTGATTTTGGCTCCAAGGGAGCAAGAGAATGAGCGATTTTAGCTGGTCAGAGCTGTACAAATGAGGTATTTTAGCTGGTTGTACAGCCTACATGATGTAATTTGAGTTATTTTAGCTAGAAGAGGCAGTGTACATGAGGGGTTTGTGCTAGCCTAGCAATCTGCATGATGTCATACAGACTGCATGAGCTCAGCTGCAGGAAGATTATCACATGACCTGACAAGCTGCATATGCTGTACACCTGACCTGACAGGCAGTGTAAGCTGTGCACCTGTCAGAAGATTATGATGTCATATGGTTACCTGTGTCCTGTAGTGAAGTATTTGTGTAATTTGTGTTGTGTAGTTGTCCTGTGTGGTTGATTGAGTCTAATTGAGTGTTGTACATATCCAAGTAGAGTTACAGAGATACCTCCAGTGGTGACCATGGGTGAACTGATCTGTAAAATGTAGTTCTTGAGTTGTAATGAGTGGTAGATGTGTTGGAATTTTGTCTCTACTCCTTTCCTCTCTTCTATTTTTTCTTACTTCTGCCTCAATCTCAATCTCAGTAATCACTTGGATCTGCTCACTAGTCACTAGAAGTCTTCTCCTACTTAGTCTGACTCTATCTCCTGTTATGAAGGTTACCCCCAGCTTGTAGTCAATGAACCCTGTCTGAGGAGGATAGTTCTTCTCTCATGTAGTCTTGCTTGTCTATTAGGTTATATTCCATTCTTGCTGGTGTGTGATGCCGTACCCAAAAAGGGTTTACTCTATTCAGTATTGTTTCTTTATTCATTTCTCCACAACCACTTTTTGAACATCTTGTACTTAGTCTATTTAACCATGACTAGTTATAAGAAATGAACCCCATCAGTTCTCACCTTCATTTTTCGCCACTTGAGCTGTTCCAACAAAAACATTTTTGTTGCCCAAAAATTCATCCAAAAAACTCCTCCCAGTTAATTGGTCCTAGTTTCAACACGATTAACAGTCAAAAAGACCGCTACCCTCTCTCATCCATCTCTTATCCGATTCAACATGTCAAAAATTGATTCCGTCTCCGAAACTGTCACCCAAACCACTCGATTCCTCTTAACCTCCTCCAACTACACCATATGGATTCTCCCCATGACGGCTAAGCTTGAAGACATCGGAATTCAAACTTATGTTACCGGTGCTCTCAAGACAGATGAAAAGACCTCGGCTGAAGAATTAGCTCAAATTGAAAAACTCAATGTCAAAGCTTATTCGTTGATCATCCAGAATCTCGACTCTGAGAATCTTGCTCTCATCAGTACCACTTTGTCACCCTCTGATCACTTCGATGGCAAAGCTCTATGGTCTCTCTTGAGAAGAAAATAAGCAGGATCCGATCTGGCTGCCCAATCCACTGCTCTCGACTTATTCCTTGATCTTGAATACGAAGATGTCAACTCGTTCTGCAATTCCATCCGTCTAGCCAACCAAAAGCTTCTTCTTGCCGGCATCATGTTAGACGATCAAGTCAAGATGATGATCATGTTGCGAAAACTCCCTCGAGAAGACTTCCGATCATTCCGCGACATTGTTGCGATGGGATTCTCAACCGAATCGTTTGAAGCAATCGTCAAACGCCTCGAATCCTACTCTTTTACCAACAAGATCAAGAAAGAAACAAAAAAGGAGTCAACGATCAATCGTCCAATGACGTTACTTACTCGGGATCATTCCACCTCTCAGCCAAACGAACCAACTCCATCTGTTTCGCCTGTCTGCGTTCACTGCAAGAAGACCGGTCATCGACCGACCAACTGTTGGGTCAAGTACCCTGAAAAGGCTCCAAAGGCACCTCCTACATCTCACTACACTCATTACATCCACTCCTCAGGCAAACTTCGTCCAATCGACAAGCACTGTCCTCAAGAAGTCCGTCTCTAGCTCCGATCAATCTCTGTCACTCGCTCTGATTGTCTCAGATCCCTCAATCCAGTTGCTCATCAAGTTGTGCCGATCTCTCCTCTACTCGCGTCAATCTCTCATCACATCGCTCCAATCTCTTTCCTCATCTCTCTCCGATCTCTTTCCTCACCTCGCTCCGAGCTCTTTCCTCACCTCACTTTAATCTCAACAACTAACCATGCTCATAGACATCGATCTCATGTTCTCTTGGCATAATTAAAGGGGGGTGTTGGAATTTCGTCTCTACTCCTTTCCTCTCTTCTATTTTTTCTTACTTCTGCCTCAATCTCAATCTCAGTAATCACTTGGATCTGCTCACTAGTCACTAGAAGTCTTCTCCTACTTAGTCTGACTCTATCTCCTGTTATGAAGGTTACCCCCAGCTTGTAGTCAATGAACCCTGTCTGAGGAGGATAGTTCTTCTCTCATGTAGTCTTGCTTGTCTATTAGGTTATATTCCATTCTTGCTGGTGTGTGATGCCTTACCCAAAAAGGGTTTACTCTATTCAGTATTGTTTCTTTATTCATTTCTCCACAACCACTTTTTGAACATCTTGTACTTAGTCTATTTAACCATGACTAGTTATAAGAAATGAACCCCATCAGTTCTCACCTTCATTTTTCGCCACTTGAGCTGTTCCAACAAAAACATTTTTGTTGCCCAAAAATTCATCCAAAAAACTCCTCCCAGTTAATCGGTCCTAGTTTCAACAAGATGGGTAGAAATATAAGGAAAAAATGATAAAGAAAAGAATAAAAAAAGAAATAATAGAAAACTTTGAATTTTTACACATTCAGCTACCACAGCGTGCGGGCAGGCAAGCCACTTGCCTGCAGGGGGTATACCCTGCAGGTTGGCGTTCCTTCCTGCACGCCAAATATATGCATATGTGGTCCTAAACGCATATCTATATGCGTTTAGGACCAGGGCTGTCCCATAGGACCCAGGAATGGGTCCTATGGGACGGCCACATTCATTTTTTTTCTTTCAAAAAAAAAAAAAACAGGCCAGGTGGGATTCCCTCTTGGTTGACGGTACAACCTCGCCAACCAGGAGGAGGGGATTCCCTCCTGGTCAGCGGTACAACCTTGCCGGCCCAAGAGGGAATCCTCCTGGTCGGCAAGGTTGTACAACTATCTGTAAGAGTCCGCTTTTGACCCTTCACTGTTTGTTCTGCAAGGACCGGTACAAGGCTCAATAGCCAGGGAGAGAGCTTCTAGGACCAACGGTGGGATGAATTGCTAGCACCGGAGAGGGAAGAACTCTCTGTAAGTACAACTAGAAAGGAGAAGGAGAATGAGAATGAAAGGTGATGAAGACATACCTAGCACCGGAGAGGGAAGAACTCTACCGAGCTAGGACGGTGGGGGAACAGATGAAACTAAATACACTGTTGAGATGTAGATTATGTAATCTGTAACAGCCTTGTGAAGTATGGCAGGGGGACAGGCTTCACAGTCTCCCCTCCTATAAAATAAAATTTAAGAAGTAACTGAAATAACATATATAATTGATGATGAATAGAGATCAGTGAAATTTTAATCATAAGAGTTGAGAAGCCAGGACTGAGTCAGATGGTTGTAGGGATTAGGGATAACCAGTTGATTGGACACATTAGCTCTTGCTTGATGCTGTTGGCGGTGAGGATATGCCAACAGTGTGCAGGAGTTCTTGGGGATTCTGAGAAGCTTCTGATGGTAATGGGTGCCTTTTTATATACTGAGGTTATCCCAACAATCTTGGCATTGGTTTGATGACAAAGCAGCTACACTGGTGGTAAGGAGACTACACCAATGGTGATGAAGGTGCATCAATGCTGAGAAGTCTGTACCACTGGCGAGTTGCTGGTCCTGATGACAGTGATTTTGAGGATAATCGGATACACCACGGGTGCAGAAAAACGTTTCGAAGCCGTTAAATTAACTGCTTCAAAACTTTTTCAATTGAATGTCAGGGGACGTCACCCTGGAAGTCGGCGCAGAAAGTTTTTTGAAACGTTTCAAGAAACGTTTCTGATTCTGTTCAAAAAAACGGCATCAAGACCTCGAGCCAACCAAACCGTTTTCAAAAACGTTTTGGATGTGGTTAATCTAACCCAAGTAGAACCAAAGGATGACCGCAACTTACTCAAAACGTTTGTGTAGTGGTTTTTTTAACCTGAAAATAACGGCTTGCTGATGCCATTTTGGTATTGAATGTGGTTGCGATAACCGATGTCCAACCAATTCACAACCAAAAAAGGGTTGGACAAAGGTTTTATGGCCAGTGGCCCAACTTTTCAAAAGGTTGTGCTTGGGTTAGAAATTGGTCATTGGAAACCATTCTACTTTCCGGTTCATTTTTTTTTGGGGGGGAGTTGCTTGGTTGGTCTTTGTACTAGACAATCTTTCAATTCATTTCTGGTTTGTTTCTCAATGGCCATTGATATCTAATTACATGTTTCTTCAGAATAAAAAGGAAATCGTGTTTGTGTCTTTTTTGTCTTTTAATGTATTTTTGTGAGAGAACGATATCATAAGGAGACAAGGCAGCTAGGTTATGTAGGAGAATGAGACAGGAAAAGTTGCATACTCCAATTCGGTATCAGCAGTGGTGAGGTCTGAGTATTAAAAGTCAGTCGCTTCGGCCTGGGAGGATTGCTCTGCACTGAGACCGGCGATCTCGGCTTCGATTTCAGCTTCGGTGGGGAGAGCACAGTCGTCCGGGTCGACCTCATCCAAGGCGGTGGCACCATCCCACAGTCGCTTGTCTTTGCGTAGGATCAGTTGCCCAAAGGCATATTGGTAAAGGCGCCCTTTGTCGATTCGGGCATTGAGGTCATCTTTGATTTGATGCCAGAAGGTTGGCGTCTTGCCCTTGGTCTTACCCTTCCGTTGGATACGGTTGAGGTTGATCATGAATCGGATGTAGGACAGCCGGGCCCTAGCGGGCGGTGGAACATCTGAATAGACCTGTGGTAGAAGAGTGTCCTTGTATCGGGGGAGCATGCCAATGTACACCGAGCCAACGAGTTGCTTCAGTGGGGGGGCTTTCTTGGGTGGACTGGGCAAGCAGGATTGGATGATGGTCGACAGCTTGAATTTGTCGGCCTTGAGCTGTTTGCTTATTAAATCATCGAAGGATTTAATAAAAGTGGCATTGCTGCTGTAATTATTGGGTAGCTGTTTGAGGAATCGAGGGCTTTGAGAGTCAAGAAGGGTCTGAGGCGAGCAATTGGTTACTTGATCTGATGGTTGGTATTACTACTCGTACTAGTGACACTGACCTTCATCATTGAATATGGTGTTTCAGCCTTTTTGTTGCTGCGATTGCCTCGATGTCCATATACGTCAAGTTTGGGGTTGAGCAAGATGATGCAGATGTTGGTGCTGACAAGGGTCTTGAGATTGGGGAGTTCTTTGTTTGTCTGGACAGCCAGGCCCGGTGTGGCTGCTTGGGATGATGTGTTAACCCGGGCTTGCTGCAAGATCAATGCAACCGCTGCTGGCCACTGCTCGTGTTCCGGAATCTATGAAGGGCAGTGGTCGGTGACCTGATTCTTTGAGGTAGGAGGGAGTGCTTACACTGAAGAGGGGTTGTCCGATGTGAGCAAACTCCTCATGATTTTCAAGGTTCTCTTGGAGGAGATGGTAAGTCTTGCGGATGTAAGTCAGGGTTTCTGGCCGGATTGAGGTGGTTGAGTCAGATGAGCTTGAGTGTTGACTGAAACTGCTGACGGAGTCAGAAGCAGATGACCGGTCTTCATGTCTATAGGGGGAAGGATTGGGGAGACTGGTGTGGGATGGGGTGCGTATCGGGCCAATCCCCCCTGCGTCCCTGCCTCCCATTGGACCGGGGTGCCGTTGGGTGGGGCCTGCAGCCTCATCAGTTTCATGGGTCTCTGTGGCCTGGGATCATTGGAAGGGGGAAGACTTACTTGGTTTGGTCCGATGGCCTCCAGAGGTCAAAACAGATGGGGGGGGGTCGAAAGATCCATGCCGGTGGGTCGTGCTCCGTGGGTACGGACTTGAATACCTGGGGTTCCAGGGATACTGTGATTGGTGTTAGAAGTGTTGAACTGAGGACCGGCCTTGGTTCCATTTCCCCCAAGGGGGCTTGGTGATGGGTTGAAATGAGTCGAGTATGGAGAAATAACCCCTGCCCCTGTGGCAGGAATGCTGCGGAGGTGTGGCACGCCGGCGCCAGTTTGATAGTTGGAAGGGTTTGGCAAGTTGCGTGGGACGATTCGAGTTCCAGGTCCGGTATGGTTTGGGTATGTGTGGGGCTGTGCACTTGTGTGGTTGGGGAGCGGAGCGAGGTCAGGTTGGAAATCTTCCTGAAGATTTTCCCATGCATCGGCTCTGTCGGGGTTCCAAGTTGCCCCCGGGTGGTGATGGCTTGCCATCATCGTTATTCCTGAGGGTTGGGTGGTTTCAGCTGGGTCAATGGTGGATTAAATTTTCTCCATGAGTTGAGACATGACTTACCCTCCGTGCTTGTTTGACAATTCAATTCCCAAGGAGCTGGTGTTCTTGATTTTCTTTTGATGTTTGATGTCTGGATGGTCCAATGTTGGAGATGAGAATGTCAGGAGTGGCGGGGTGCCTGCAACATTGGCTCACTCATCTCCAATCGTGCCCTGCTACAGCTGCGGAGCGCACATCTGGTGGGGGACCCCTGGTCTTGGCTTCTGAATTCCCCTTCTGGACCGTCACTTGAGAGAATAATCCACACCCTGCTACGCTTTTACACAGCTCAAGCCCTAGGATTTTCATCTGTTCAACTCATATTCCGGAAAATACCGTGAAAATAATGGAAGATGACATCCCAGGTCCGTTTGCTTGAAGTTTATGATTAATTAGATAGCTGCTTCAGTTGAGATGAAATATGATTTTTCACAATCTTGATTATCCTTATTGGGTTGTTATGCATTACAGGCTTTGAAAAACTTCCAAAATACCAAGGACAGCAGAGATATCGGTGCCTCATATGTGACAAAAGAACTTGCTTTGCCAGAAATGTTCCAGGACACCTGAGGAGCAAGGGTCATCAAGATAAATTGGCATTTCTCAATGCCTTCAATTCACAATCACTCCAGCAGGATTATCAAGGTGCTCAGAACCAAGAGGACATCATTGAAGAAATTATATTTGCTCAGAATCCCAGAAGTTCCCCGGTTGATGAGGACATCCGTGGGCCACACGATGATGACCCTGGCGCATGGGGGCTTGGTTCAGCTACGGATGACTCAGATTCTTCTGATGACAGGACTGAGCTCAGTTTTGATTTGGATGATTGGTTTGATGGACGCGAGGATGAATCAGGACCGCAGGCAGCATCAGGGCAAACTCCAGCAGATTCGGACAGGGTTGACATTGATTCTTCTTGGTACCCTTTCCCCAATAAAGAGGTGAGTTGAGCTGTTTTTCTCTTGATCTTGAGATGCACAGCTTGGAGTTGATGATTTTTTGCCTCTTTTCCTCTTGGCAAAATAGTATCTAATTGCATACCTGATGTTGGGTCAATTGCACAGTTTCATCTCGCAAAAAGTGTATGATAAAATTTGATCAATTCTGATATTGGGCCATTTAGATCTACCACACTGAGACACAAGTAGGAGGGCAAGAAATCGCATCTCGCAAATGTTAAATTTGGAATTGAAGCATAACTTATTGGTGTTGAACAACAAGACTTTCATGATAAGTTTGAAAAATATAATAGGCAATGTAAAACTGAAATGTTGATTGTGTATGGCATTGGACATGGAACTGAAGTACAATTCATACTAATTAATCAATTTCAAATTCTGAAAGGAACTTGCAAACCCCTATGTAGTACACGACTTGGAATTCATTCCCCATGACCCCAAAGGCAAAGACATCTATGCATTACATCAGAGTGTGAAATGGAGGGAAGATCTTACTCCAGAAACAAGAGTCCAAATGGTTGAGTATTCAGGAAAACATTGGTATATATATGAGCCAGTCATGCTTCAATGGCAAACACAGCCAATAGTTGTCAGCCTCTATGCTACTAACCTGAGTGGGTTGTGCTATGAGTGTTAACAAGAAGTGTAATTGAGAAGGTTTATTCGTGGTTAAATCCCTCAACCTGTAAAAGAAACAGGGAGGAGTCAGTGAGGAATGGTACTTCTACTGCTGACTCATCCAATTATTCAATTGGGCATCCAGATCAATCCTGTTACGTGGATTAATAGGCTTCCAATGTGAGGAATTCTTCTACTCACTTGGGATCAAGTCTTTTAACAACAATCCAGATGAATAAGTGTATGTACACTTAAGGACCAGAATTGTTTAACCAGGGGGATAATTCTTTATGCAATAGAGATAAGTAGAAATGCCTTGAATCTGAGCAAAGTAAATCTATTTAGGTCTAAGGTAGCTGGATTGTAATGTTATTGGTGGTTTGAATCACTAATAATCACTGTACAAGTGTTGGTTTGATGCTACTAGAATTTCCTGGGGGGAAAAGGTAGGAATCTGAGCTCCTTAAATATTCTACAGGGGGCTCAGGGGAAGGGGAGAGGCCCTCAGGGCATTAGGGAGCTTCTTAGCAGCTCTACAATTTCGTGTAAGGATGGGAGCTGCAGCTGTGCAGTGCTATGCATGGGTGGAAGGTCCTAGGACATGAGATCATACATGCATAATTGAGTTTTGTGGTCTATTTCTCACGTAATTGAAAGGCTACAGTTACTGTGCAGTGGCTGTGCAATTGTAGAGTTGGTTGCATACGTGTAACTCTGCTTATGCAAGCTTGTGATCATGAGAAATGCATGTTCTTCATGCATAATTCAGTCTTGCATGTAGAATTTGGGCTCCTTTCCCGTGTAGGCTGCTTTGAATTATGCAAGCTTTGAATTAGAGCACAAAAGGGTCCTGATGACGCCATCCAAGAGGGTTATGATGCAATCTGATGCCCTGATGATGTGATCAAGGATGGGTAAGCTTCAGATAAATGTATATAGCTTATTCCTCATCCATTTCACGCTTCTACTAGCTGATTCTTTATACATATGTAATTATTTATGGCTTATAAAATATGTACATAATGTATAAGAATAAACATTGTTTAATACTTTATTCTAATGATATTTCTGTGAAATCCTAGTGATATTATATGTACAATACTCAAGGGGATTTCACAGTTAATTATAGAATTATTAAATATAAATTATGAATTAAGATTAAATGTAAATACATATTTATTTATTTATTATTTTAACAACAATGTATACTATTTTCCAGTATTCAATTAATTATTATTATTGCAGTTACTAGGTACATTTCACGTACTGTGAAATGTGCTCTGTGGCTGACAATAGTGGTTCCTATTTTTTTCTACAAATATAACAATGAGGTCTTTTCCAAATGCATCCGCCCAAAATTTGAAACCTTGCGAAGTGACGATGCTTGCCCTGGGGACTTTGTCTTGTATATTCCGAACAACATCAAATTCACCGATGCCTACCTCATTGATGTCCCGGTATCTGAATTTGGACTGTTATCCTCAGAAATCAAGACAAGCAGAGGGGAGGCATTTATGGACAAATGCAGACACCATATACACAGCAAGTTTTTTAACATTGTGATCACTTATTTTCTTGCAAGATTAAACCAAGCTAACATGAGACATTGCTCACTTAATCAGGTTTTGGGCGTGGGGAGCCCACCAAAACATACCAAGTTCCCAATCCATGGCAAGCAAGAGCTGGCGGCAAAATTATACGTCATGTCCCCATCTCGCTATATTCCAATGATACTTCCGGCAACAAGTCTAAAAGATGGAATAAACATGTTTCATACTGTTTCACACTCAGTGGATTGCCACCCAATCTGTCAAATCAAGAGTACAATGTCCACTTTATCTCAACATCAAACAGGGCTGGACCTTTGGAGCTTGCAGAACCAATAGTTGAAGAATTAAAGTACGTAAGATACTCCAAAATCACATGTTCAGATTGGAAGATTGATATGACTATGAGATTAACAATTGAATTGGCCACCAAAGGTTCAGTTGCATATGATATAAGCCTGGACCAAGAAGTCCTATTTATGACTGTCCCACTTTGCTTCTTGGCGGATTCACCAATGGCTGCGGAGATAACCAACACACAAAACCCAGGATCCTCAAACAACCCCTGCCGTATTTGTAAATTGAAATGCCCTCAAGGGGCCGAAAGAAGCACAATGAGCTACATGCAGGATTTCTTTGGGTGTCCAGATCTACCAGAGAAACAAATTTGGAGTGAAACAGTCAAACATACCAAGGAACTATGGGTCACCTCTCAATCTAGCACCCAGAAAGAATATGAGAGAAAACAACAACTGTATGGCATCAAGGATAGGATCAATTCCTAACTGATTGAATTGAAGCACACATCAATTGAAGAAAGGTAACACATTATTTCAATTCAGCGGGACACACCACTACAAATATACAACCCATGTTGCTTCCTCATAGGCTTTGATGGATGCCTGGACACACCTGTTGAAATCCTACATGTAATATTGCTTGGAGTGGTCAAATATTTGTGGAAAGACTTCATGAGTTCACTGAATGAAGAGCAACTCAACGAACTTGAAGGACGATGGGCCACATTCAGCACTGAAGGTCTAAGTGTACCACCAATTCAGCCTAGATATATGATTGCACACTACAACAGTCTAATTGGAAAAGAATACCGCGTGATACTGCAGGCCGCCCCGTTTGTATTATTTCACCTCATGACCATAGAGGAGATAGAATTGTGGACTGCATTATGCCACATTGGAAGTATGGCATTTCAGACACACATTGAAGACATGGAAGACTATATAGCCAAGCTGGAACATTGGATCACTAGGAAAAAAAATGTGGAACCCCTATAGAGGTGCTTTCACTTATCTTTTGCTTAACCTTACTGTATCCACACTGTATCTAGTCTTTATCCCCACTGTTGCTAGGATATATCTTTGTATTATTATTTATTTTATTTCTCATATGATTCCTCTGCAATTGAAGTAATTCCAAATATTTAATTCATAATTTTTCAAATTATAAGTAAAATACTTGAAACCCTAAATAGATAAAAAGGTCAGATCTCAATATACATCTTCATCCATGAAAATTTACTACACAATGAAAAACCAAAATAATCTCAAAAATAAATGGAGCGAATCCCTATCCTAATAACATATTATTTGATTCAGGTTATTTATGACATTGCTGAGTATGAATTCTAATGAGAATATAAATATGTATTCTCCTTCACAAATCAATTCATTTTTATTAAAAATGTATTCTTATTTGACTCCTGTTTTATGAAGATTCGTACTCTTTTCTCCCTTGTGCTTGCTCTTCCAATCTCAGTTATCTAAACCCCTAGGTGTATGTGCATATTTAATTTTATAGATTTTGAATTATCTTTATGAGGATTAGAGAATTCAAATTGTTATATCTGGGAGACCCTTAATGATGTTCAATTTTGACATAATGGTATTACCAATAACTTACACTTTTCACAAATGGTTATGATAATTCATGAAGGTAAATTTTATTCAAAAATAAAAACAGTCCTCATATTATTGGCTTTATTGATGAAGATGTATGATTCTGTCATGATTTTTATCTTAATTTTATTATGGATTACTTCTCCCTTCCAAAAAACATCACAATAAGCCAGGTTTTTTCTGAATATAAATTATCATTCAAAGGCAAATGAAAACCACCACATGACATGAGTGCTTGATCCCTTCTCAAGGCTCATCTTGTCTACTTCTAGAATTTGAAAACAAAAAAGCTGTGTGGTTTTGGTCCAGCATATTTGATAATACTCAAAAATTTAACCCACTCAAATCAGTAACAATTTTATTCTAATTAAAACAAAGAAGAAAAAAATTTCATCTACCATCCCCAGCAATAGGTAAGTATACTGAACTCAATAGCCCAATTTAATGAAATTAGATTTTGTTCCATTTCCTCTGTAAAAATGTTTGTTTTTGTACTTGGTTTTTTACAAGCCTTGTTCTGAAACCTGAATTTTGAGGCTCATTATGTTTCTTCTTCCAATTAATAATGTAGATTATTCTCAGGAGTAGGCTGAGGCATGGAGTGTGTCATCAGCATTCCAGAAAGAAATTATATGTTTTACTTCAAATATGTCAAGGGTTTCCTCTCATACATATTTCTCACTTCCTGCTCATCACCACTGGGTAATGAAGTATGACTGTAAATATAAATTTTCCAACTTTGAAAGCCTCAGGATTTTTGCCTAAAATCCCTGGCCCCTTTAATTGATTCTTTGGAAATTTTTACATTTTGAGGAGAAACATTTCTAGGAAATGAAAAAAAACTTGTGCTATGATCTCAGAAAAACTCATGAGTTTAACTCTCTTCCAGTTGCAAAAAGTGGGCAAGGAGTTTTGATTTTCATACTGTGATTTAAGCAATCATTTGTCCAATTCATTATTTTTGAACAATTTCTGAGTTCAAGTTTGCTTCACAGTATTTCACAGGCATTCTAGTAATTATTTTATTGGGATCTGATACACCATCTCATAATTAGCTCCTTGGTTTGTTTTGTTTTTTCAAAAACCAGCGATTATGTGAATTTAATTCAGTCTGATTGGTATTGATAGGTATCACTGGTGAATTGGGATGCATGATGGGGAAATAAATCAATATCAATTATGAAACTTTGATATGATCCGAACCCTGATTCCTGTGATAGGTGTTCTCTATCCTTTGGTCAATACAAGATAAAGCTTAGGATAAAACTCTCTTAAGAGTAAAACCTTTTCATTAAGGTTTTCTTTGTTTTTGTTTTTTTAAAAGCTCAAAATTTATCAGGGATGAAAATTTTAGTAATGAAACAGAAGTCAAAATTCCATTTTCTTGCTATAATTACTAATGCAACTGTACAAAATCTCTATTTGCGAGATCTGGAAGAGGAAACAGGAACTAAAACTGATCTCCCATATTCACACATCAGATCAATACGGGTTAGGTATTTTTTGGCTTAGCAAGAGGATCTGGTCTGATTAGCTGCATGAAGCAATAAATCTTTATTTCTCCAAGCAGTAGATAAGGAGAATATTTCTTTCCCTCCTTTGCTTTTCCGAATAAAAATGTGTTGGTCTGGAGGAGATCGGAGGCGTGTTTTCAAAATTAAGACCGCCGGTCTTATTTCTGAATTACGGGAACCATTTAATTTGTAATCGCCGGTATACAAGCAATTAAGCCCGCCGGTCTTAATCTGTTTGACCCAAAATGAACCATCTGCTCTTGTTGCTTGATTGAAACTGCATTGCCATTGCAAAAGCGATGGGATGAGGGGAATATTTCCTTTTTTCCTGATTTGATAGACATCAAGGATCTGGTTTGAGGCAAGATGAATTGGAAATATTGGCCTTCATCTCCTGCTAGGACCAATCCATCTAATTTGTTGGGGGTGGGAGAGGGATTCTTTTTTTTCTTCTTTGACCGTTATAAAATGCAATTTTTTTTTATCAGAAGATATTCCAGGACCAGTGAAACTCATCACTTATGAATTTACAAACCATAAGACATACACATCTTTTTTCACCAAGCAAAGTTGAAGATTCTGCCCTTCTGCTTCTTAGCCCTTTGAAGATGCTCTCAGAAAGTTTTGCTTTCTTTCTAGGCTACTTTGAATTATTCCATGTGTTAATTAAAATCTAAAAAACTAGTGTTAGAGTCTTTTATCCCATATTAAGAATTTCAGACATTATGGTTGATTTCAAAGCCTGACTGGGTCTACATAAAATTTGATTGATGTTGTATCAGTTTGTGTTGAAATTTCACACTCATACATAAATTGGTGCACAGCAATTCAAAATTAAATGAAGCAATTAATCTTGACTCAGCGCAAAAAGGTCTAAGCACCATTTGGAAATAGGCTTTTGCTGTTTTGATTAGGAGAATTGATGTGATTTTTTGACCCAGAAAGAAAACCAATTTCATGTTTCAGATGATTAATATTTTGATAGAAATCGAGTGTTTGAATGAATTGTTTTTGAACAGATGATGGTGCCTTTTTGTTTTCAAAAGGGGATCCAAAAAAGATTGCAAATAATCCAAAACTATCTATCACAGATATTTCTAAATGATGTGACATTTCTATTTTTTGTGTTTATAATTAGTTTGAGTGAAGAAAGATCACTGATTGTGAATCTTCTGGAGGTATGGCTTGTAGTTGTTTTTGAGATAAATGAGCATACAAATGTCTGGATTTTCAATCTTACACAATTGTATGAGATCTAATTGTTTTCATCAAGTCATGATTCTGGACTGGTAATTTCAAGTCTTTGAGTTAAGGTTATTAGGAAAGGGAAATATTTAGTATGTTCAATTTCATAAAAAAGGCTACTGTAATCACTCAATATTTTCAGGTTTTTCTGAAAATACAACTTTAAATTTGCTTCCAAATTGAACACATCATTATTTAGCCTCAGAAATCGTCAAAAAAAATCTGATGGATTCCAGAGCTTAAGAATACCCATCTGAGATACAGAAGTAGATATGATTTATGCTTGTATAGGATACAGCACATATACAGCTGGGATACAGTTGGGATATACAAAAACCACCTCTATAGAGGCTCCAATTTTTTTTTCCTGGTGGATCCAAGTGTTCTTATTTCATATTGCAAAAATGAATGGAAGATGGGTCAACAAGCCAAAATTTCACCACCTACGTCACTTGTAACAATCTATCAGACGATATGGCCCAGCGTGCTTGTTTGCTACAGAGAAATTCGAGAGCTACAACGGTGTTGTGCGGAACAGCTCAATCGACTCAAACCGTCAGAGCCCTGGAAGAGACATTGCAACTAGCTTCAACAACTACCACATCATGCGATGGTTATCATCTGGAACTAAACTATATGACCATGAGACCAGAAGATACTTCCAAGCTTCACCTGATATTATCAATATATTCAAACACAATCTGAACATTCAACAATCTATGGGATACAACCCTCCCACTTTGGCAAGTGGCCACCAGAAGCCTAAAATTCATGGACACTGAGGCAAGCCAACCCCATATGAAGATATTCCACCCATTTTGAAAAGGCATTTCCCAGCATACGCTATCCAAAAAATATCTTCCATGAAAGTGAATCAGAAGGATGTCATATGGCCAGGCACATTTGTACTTGTTAGAGATGGGCCTGGCGCATCCGGATATCTGTTCGGATTCGGATATCCCCTCACGTTTTCAGTCAAATCAGACATCCGCATCCCCTGGCGGATACCCGCGGATATCCGCTCCAAAAATGACCCCCAGGCTGCAAAATGAAAGTTTCTTGGGGAAATTTCAGATGCAGAAAGCTGCATAAACACTGATTTTGAATTTCTTGCGGCCTTCAAGCCTTCAATTTTTTTTTCCTTTGCTGCTTGCAGCCTGTGACCCTCCAAAAAATATGGAAAATGGAAAAAATTATATTTCTTTTTGCTTTTGAATTTTTTTTGTTGAGCAGTTGGCAAAGTGGTTTTAAGTTTTTGTTTTTTATTTATTTATTTATTTATTATTTATTTATTATTTTTCCTTTTGTTGCTCACAGCCTGTGACCCTCCCAAAAATATGGAAAAAATCTAATTCCTTTTTCCTTTGCAATTTTTTTTGTTTCTTGCAGCTAACTCATGTAAGGGGGTTGATAACCGCACGCCAACCCCCATGGCGCACGCCAATCCGCACGCCAGGCGCAGATTGGCGTGCGGGCCTGCACGCCAAAGAAGTTTGGCGTGTGGCCCCTCACGCCAATCGCCTGCAGATGGCGTGCAGGCCTGCACGCCAAAGAAGTTTGGCGTGCGAGGCCGCACGCCAATGTATCTGCGGCCTAAACGCATATACATATGCGTTTAGGCCCCAGGACGACCCATACGACCCAGGGATGGGTCCTATGGGTCGGCCTTGCGCCTAAACACATATACATATATGCGTTTAGGCCCCAGGCCAACCCATACGACC